GTGTTCCCAGGGAGATATTTGGTATCACCCTGATGTGTGCAAGCATGTAAATGAATGTCAAAATGTAGGGTGAAAGGAGAAATGTTTCCCTGCCATACCTGGATTTGGGGATCTTGGATGACGAGGATTTAACCTGGCAATAGTTCTGTTTCCACAGAGAATCCACTCTCACCACCCGTGAGGTGAAAACTTCTTGGCAATTTAAGAAGAATTTCCCACAGCTGCATGTGCTTGTTGCCTCTCAGAAGAGCCTAGCTCTGCCTCCTCTGCATCTTCCGAATAGGTAGTTGAAGATTCCAGTAAGATTTGCCCCATTTACTTCCTTTTCTTGAGGCTGAACCAACCTGGTTGTCCTAGTCTCTTCTCTTACATCACATGCTCAGGCTCCAGGGCATCAGATGGAATTGCTGCAGGTCACTGTGGGTCTGAGGCCAAAAGCAGGCACAATTCTGCAGACATGATCTGGAAAATGCTGGATAGATTGGAAAAGGAATCCCTCTCCTTGGCCTGATAGCTACACTTTGTCCTGTACAGCCCAATGCCTGTTTGGGCTCTTGCTGCAAGACAAGTGTCAGTGTGAGAAACGTGTCACAAAATGGACTTCAAATGCTCTGGATTTCATTTCTGCATATGCAGCCATCTCGTCCCTCTCTTCCAGAGAACAGTGCCAGCTTGAGTCTTGGAGCTTTTTGAGCAGGAGGCAGCACTGAAGGATCCTGATCACCTCCAAATACCTGTGCTTTACCTTATCAAATGATAGTTTAAATCCAGTGTGGAACTTGCCTTGAGTTTCTACCCTGATGCAAAATCTTTGAGGTTTTTTTAAGTCTTGCTGCTAATAATTTGGACTTGGACATTAAAAATGAACCTCTAGTGGAACAGGACTTGCTTCATCATTTTGCCCTTGCTGCACACTGAGTTTCTGAGTTTGTAAATGCCATCCTGCAGCAAATGATCTGTCTTCTCTTGCCAGCCAGTCTCTTGGGCAGCTCCTGTTTCTGCTCCTCGTCAGTTTTTCCCCCTCTGTAGTTCTTTCTGTCAACTCCAGAGTCCTTTAATCCAACTCCTAATTTAATTCTATTGCTTGGAGGTCTGCATCTGGCGAGGATCTGTGTGTTAGGCTGCAGTTACACAACAGATTGTTCAGTCATGTAACTTTTTGTTTCCTTCTGGGTGAAAAATTACGCCAAAGCTGCTACTACTATAGCATACACTACTGCTGGAAAGTGGCAGAGCCAGCTGTGCTGCAGAAAACAGTTACACTACAAGGTCATCTGGATTGCTGGAACTGATGGGGTTGGGAAGTGATGCCTTCTTGCATTTTGATCTGCACCTGACCAAAACAGAGCTGGGGCATCTCTCTGTTTGGCTGTGATCAGTGGGATCAGCATCTCTCTCTGCTGGGTGTGTTACTTGCAGGGCAGTGCACGTGTTTGTGCACACAGGTGGGGATTCATCCACATACAGTAGTCTGTAGTGGGAATTATCTGGCTGTGAGGATGGGCTTACCCTGTTTAGGGTGTCTTTTGTGGGGCAGTAACACCCCAGGGAGCATTTTACTTTGGCCCGAGCGAGACATTTGGAAAAATACTTGGTTTTCTTGGAGCACTATATTTAAATTCCAAACTTTTTATCAGCTTTTGACCTTTGTATTTGTATGTTCAGAAAATTCTTCTGATACCTTTTCAATTTACCAACACTGTATTAAAACCTTTCAGAATGTATGGCTGGTCCTCTCCTTATGTGTCACTTTAAGTTTCAGAGCCTGAGGGTAGTTGTGCCAAATCTACCCCCTTTGCTCTCAAGATAGAAAAAAAAAAAAGAAACCATTGACAATTCATGGGTGGCAGCTAAGGAAGAAACCCTTTAAATATTTTTTTCAGAGACTATTAAATTAGATCTGTGTAAACATAAAATTTATATTTATTAATGTGTGTGTATGTGTGAGCGTGTGTGTGTCAATATAGATATATAAATGGTCCATGACTATTTCTTTCTCTTAAATGGTACTTTCAGAGACTTTTATACAGTATGTTGGTAAATTCCTGCACCAGGCACTGACTCCTGAAGAACGATGTACCTGTTTTTGTAATGAATGTGAGCAGCCAGTGGAAGCAGCTTTACTTCAGTGATTGCTTTCATTCCTCTTGCAGAGCAGAAGAGACAACTTGGTACTTGCATCTTCCTTGTGTAGGAGCCCTGCTTCTGGCTTTGTTGTGCTTGCAGCCACCCCAGTCCATGCTGCTTTTCTGGCAAGAAAATCCCCCAAAATGGCACTAATGAAAGCTGGAATCCTTTCTTGTCTTCAGTTACCTGTAGTTGTGGTGTTGGGGAGTTTTTTACAGATTCTGCTCTATAAGTAATGGGACCTTATTTCTAACAAAGGAGGTTTAGGATGGGTCCACGAGGATGCTGTAAGGCTGAGGAATTCCTCCCTGCCAGGTGGCTGAGCTAACACTGGGGCACTATGAAACAGTTTCTTTTCCTCTGTGGTGAGATTATTTTCCTTTCATCGTGATTCTGTCTCTTTGTGGGGCGAGGTGTGTGTATATCCCCTTAAAAACAAACACAGAAGGGTTTTTCTAATGTTCCCATT